GCCCAGTTCAGCATCCCAGCCAGCGCCCAGTTCAGCATCCCAGCCAGTGCCCAGTTCAGCGTCCCAACTAGCATCCTGGCCAAGCATCCTGGTCCAGTATCCGAGGCAGCATCTCGGCCAGTGCACACATCCTCTGGGCAGTACCCAGTACAGGACCTGTCCTGAGAAAGATGCCAATGGACATGGCGCTTTTTCCTCATAGTAGGACACCATCTGTTCACACCACCTTGCCCTCTGTGAAATGTGTGTTGGGGAACTTGGGAGCATAATAAACATTTCTTACCATGTTTCAAAGTTTTTAAAATTTGTTGTTTTGAGAAAACTGTAGATTCACATATAATTGCAAGAAATAATAAAGGTGGCCTTGTACCCTTCACCTGGCTTCCCCTGGTGGAAAAACGGTTGCAAAACTCTAGGACAACATGACACCAAGGAAACTGCCATCGACCCTAGTGCATGCACACATCGTGTGCTGTGTTCAGTCCATGCAATGTCATCACACATGCAGGTTCATGTGTCCACCACCACAGTCGGGTACTGAGCACCTCCATCACCATGAGGTCCCCCCTGCTTCCCTTTTATAGCCACACCCACCTACCCCCTACCCCAGGCATCCACTAACCTGTTCTCCATCCATCACTTTGTCAGTGCAGGAATGCTACACACTTAGAATCATACAGTCTGTGACCTCTGGGGACTGGCTTTTGCACTGAGCCTCATTCCCTGGAGACCATCCAGGTCATACATTCCTTTCCTTTTTATGCTGCATAGGATTCCACTCTACAGATGGACCATGGTCTGTTAGGCACTCACCCATTGAAGGACACCTGGGCTGCATCCACTTTCTGGCTATTATGAGTAAAAACTGCTGTAAACATTCATGTAAAGGTTTTGTGTGAACAAAAGTTTTATTTCTCTGGGATGCCATGACTAGGTCATAGGGTGGTTGCATATTTAGTTTTGTGAGAAACTGCCAAACTGTTTTCCAGAGTGCTGCACCATTGAGCACTCCCAC